CACCCGCCTCGGCCTCCCAAAGTGCTGGGATTACAGGCTTGAGCCACCGCGCCTGGCTTGTTTTTGTTTTTTGAGACTGAATCTTGCTCTGTCACCCATGCTGGAGTACAGTGGCATGATCACGGCTCACTGCAGCCTCCACCTCCCAGGCACAAACGATCTTCCCACCCTCAGTCTCCTGAGTAGCTGAGCCTACAAGCATGCACCGCCAGGCCCAGCTAATTTTAAGATATTTTTTGTAGAGACTAGGTCTTGCTGTGTTGCTCATCCTAGTCTCAAATTCCTGGCATCAACTGATCCTCCCACCTCAGCCTCCCAAAGTGCTGGGATTACAGGCATAAGCCATGGCACCTGGCCTCATTTTTTATTTTTAATAAGAGAAAAGCATAAAGATTGGATGGATATAAGAGTCAGTATGGTTATCGGGGTATAATATGGATGATTTATGTTATTTTTATGTTACTCAGGTTTGTTACCTGGGGATACTGCATGATGCTGAAGTTTGGGGTGTGAATGTTCCTGTCACCCAGATACTAAGCATTATACCCAGAAGGTAATTTTTCAGCCCTTGTCTCCCTCCCTCCTCCATCTAGTAGTCCCCAGTAAATACATATTTGAGTCTTCTAGGTCCACTGAGGACACAGTGATGAAAAAGAAAACCATGTCCCTATCCTGGAGGTATTTACATTCTGGTGACAAAATTAATTGAAGCAGTTCTGATTGATGCTTTGAGAGAAGGTGTAAAGAACTTTTTTTCCTTTTAGTTTTGAAATTTTCTGTAATGAACGTACACTGGTTTTATAGCCCTTTTGTTTCTTTTTTCTTTGTTTTATGTTTAAAGAAGCTTGGCAGAGACTGGGTGCAGTGGCTCACACCTGTAATCCCAGCACTTTGGGAGGCTGAGGCGGGTGGATCACTTGAGGTCAGGAGTTCAAGACCAGCCTGGTCAACATGCAAAATCCCATCTCTACTAAAAATATATAAATTAGCCAGTTATCATGTTGCGTGCCTGTAATCCCAGCTACTTGGGAGGCTCATACAGGAGGATCACTTGAGCCTAGGAGCTAGAGGTTGCAGTGTGCCAAGACTGTGCCACTGCATTCAACAGAGCAAGACTCCATCTCAAAAAAATAAATAAATAAGGCCAGGCATGGTGGCGGCTCACACCTGTAATCCCAGCACTTTGCTTTGGGAGGCTGAGGCTGGCCAATCATGAGGTCAAGAGATCAAGACCATCCTGCCAACATGGTGAAACCGCCGTCTCTACTAAATATACAAAACTTAGCTGGGCGTGGTGGTGTGCACGTAGTCCCAGCTACTCGGGAGACTGAGGCAGGAAAATTGCTTGAATCTGGGAGGCAGATCAAGTGAGCCGAGATCGAGCCACTGTACTCCAGCCTGGCAACAGAGCAAGACTCTGTCTTAAAACAGTAAACAAATAAACAAGTAAGTAATTAAGAAATAAACAGTGAGGCCGGGCGCGGTGGCTCACGCCTATAATCCCAGCACTTTGGGAGGCCGAGGCGGGTGGATCACGAGGTCAACAGATCGAGACCATCCTGGTCAACATGGTGAAAACCCGTCTCTACTAAAAATACAAAAAATTAGCTGGGCATGGTGGCACGTG